TCTTCTCAATGGGATGGAAATTATATCGTCGCAATGAATTAAATGATTCCTTTCTATTATCAAAGTCATTTATAATTATGGAATTCATATAATTGCTATGGGACCGAACTGAACGGAATTCGAATTCCGTTCTTTTCATTTTCCTTTGTTTTTGCATTTCATTTTTGAGAATTGTTATTTTATACATTTAATTTAATTTTTGAATTTATTTCAAATGTAATTTTCAATAATTCTTTTCCTTTTTGTAATATCATTAATAATTTTTGTTTAATTTATTTAATTAAATTAAACAAAAGTTTTTGATTTTTCATATATTTTCATATATTTCTAATAGCTAAAATTTATCTCAAATGATTTCATTTTGTGTTAGAATTATTTTAATGGGTAATAAGAAGTAATTAATTAACTTATCGTTAATTCTTACTAACTTATTGTTAATTACACTTTAAAAAAATATCAATTAAAAAATTTATATAATATGCTAAGAAATCAATAAATCAATAAGATTATATTAATAAATCAATAACACTATACTAAGAAATCAATAATTCATAATATTATATACTAAGAAATCAATAAGATTATATTAAGAAATCAATAAGATTATATTAAGAAATCAATAAGATATATTTAATTGAAAATTCTCTAATGAGGCAAGTTAATATCTCATTAAGTTAAATTTAAATTATAAATAACTGCTATAAATGCAAATAATTAAAGTAATGAAAAAAAATTATTTATTTTTTGAAATTTCATGAAACTTTAATTTATTCTTGGATATTTAAATATAAAACAAAAGGAATTGAATAAGTAATTATTATTTTTTAATTTTTCGTTTTGTTTTAATTAATTACTAAATTACAAAAAAAGGCTTTAAATATGTATTCTTTTTCACTATTATTTTACTCTAAATAAATATAATTTTCAGATAAGCATTTTTTTGTTTCTTTTTGTTTTTGTTTTGGACAATGAGAAGGAATAAACAAAGGAATTAATTAATATCGGAATTTCGATATCAATTATCAATTTATCACATCATTATCAACACTATTCATATCATATTATTGTAGTGATATTTCAATCTTTTCTTTTTTTATTTATCCTAAAAGTCTAATTAGTAAAAGATAAATTTGTGTGATAATCACTAGCGATAGCAAAAAAATCACATCAGTGTATGTTTGTGTGTGTGTGTTTGTGAGTGTGTGTTTGTGAGTGTGTGTTTGTGAGTGTGTGTGCATGTTTGTATGTGTATGTTTGTGTGTGTATGTTTGTGTGTGTGTATGTGTGTATTTTTGTGTGTGTGTTTGTGTGTTCGTGTGTGTGTGTGTTTGTATGTGTATGTTTGTGTGTTTATGTTTGTGTGTGTATGTGTATATGTTTGTATGTTTGTGTATGTTTGTATATGCGTGTATGTTTGTGTGTGTATGTGTGTATGTTTGTGTATGCGTGTATGTTTGTGTATGTTCGTGTGTGTGTGTATGTTTGTGTATGTTTGTGTATGTATGCGTGTATGTTTGTGCATGTGCGTTTGTGTGTTTGTGTATGTTTGTGTGTTTATGTGTGTATGTGTGTATGTTTGCGTATGCTTGTGTGTGTGTGTTTGTGTGTAAAATTCATCGCCTATTCATGCAATATCAAAATTAAAAATAAATTATTTTTTTTGTTTTAATTAATGAAAACTTTGAATGAATAAGCAAAATTTTTATTTATTTAATAAAATTATAACTTCAAAAAATATGCAAAAAACTTCTTTGCATATTTTTAAAAGTAAAATTCATTTTCAATTCTTTTATGTTACCAATTTTACTGCTTGTGAAAATTAGTTAATACTTTGAATGATACTTAAAGGAGAGAGAGAGAGAGAGAGAGAGAGAGAAAGAGAGAGAGAGAGAAAAAGAAATTCAATTTTATACATATCGATTTAATTTTTTCAAAAAAAAAGATAAGAAAGAAAATTCTTTCCTTTCTAATAAAATAAAAAGGGAAAGGGAAAGATAGAGAGAAATACTTTTTCAGGTTTATTATAAATACTGCACGAAATTGGAAGAAATTAAAAGAATCATTTTTGATAAAATAAAACAAAACCGATAGAGAGAGAGAGAGAGAGAGAGAAAGAGAAAGTGAAAAAAAGAAGAAATGAATAATTCAATTATATGGTCAGTAAATGCTTATGTTAGCAATGATGATATTATCACTACAACAGCTACAACTACTGGTGATACAATTGTACAATTTACAACAGTACTTTCAACTATTATGTAAGTTTCTATTTCTTAATTGGTTTTTTTTTCTTAATTCAAATATATCATTAAATGGAAAATTTTTCATGAATCGGAATAAAAAGATTCATAATCCGGTTTAATCCGGTAAAAGAATTCAGTTTAATCCGGTTTAATCCGGTAAAAGAATTTTACATCATTACGTTAATGTAAGAAAGAGTAAATTCATGTCTCAAAATCATACTTTTATATGATTTACTGAGAAATGAGCTTACAAAATTAGGCTGTCAAAATTAGGTTGTCAAAACTAGGCTGTTCATTTCATTTATCACTTTTAATTTGACTAAAATAAATGAACAGGCGATATTGCTACTTTGCCTTCTTGGCCTAATTTAAATTATTTTGGAAAAAAGAAAGAAAACTGATATTTTTGTAGGATTTTTTTTTCCTCAATGCTGGACAAATTAACCTACCTTTACCTATCGATGATTCATTTCCTTCACCTATCGATAATTAAAACAATGGTTAATTAATAAAATTTGAATTCTCACTTCATCATACTTAACATCACATACTTTTTGTTCTTATTTTTATTATTCCTAATCTTTTTATACTTCAACATTTCCTACAAAAGTAATTCTATTTTATTATTAAGAATGATCGATAAAAGCTGGATGTATAAAAGTAATTGATTAATCTGACGGCAAAATAAAAGCAGATCAATTGATAAAATTAATTGATTGATCTGATAACAAAACAAAATAAAATCAATTGATAAAATTAATTGTTAAATTACTTTGATAGCAAAATGAAATAGAATCAGTGTGATAGCTTTGGCAGCTGGCAATAATTTTAATCAATTTTTTTTCTCTAAAATTCATCTTTAAAAAGAAAAAAAGAAATCAATAATGGAATATCTTTTATTGTATATTTCCTTTTAGAAAGTATAGAAAAGGTAGAATTATTTGCAGCTAATTATAATGCTTCCGTCATGCTTATTATCATTTAAGTTATGCTTATTATTATTATTATAATTATTATTATTAAAAATTATTCACTGATTGCTATAATCTCATTCTTATTTTTTTCTCATCTTATCTCTTATCTCTTATCACTTCATTTTACTCTCTTATCTCTACATTTTATTTCTTATGAATGTTTTTATTTTATAAATATAATCTTATATCAAATCTTTTCATCGATCTCTTTCTCACCATCACCTCAATATTTACACCCAATTTAACGCTTTTCAAACTTATCACACAAATAAGTTAATAATGCCTCTCTTCTCGGATACGACAACTTATCATAAAACATTTTATCAAAATCTTTCTGAAACTATGCAATTTTGTAACATCTACCTCATCTGATACGTTATCGAAAATATGGTTAGCCATTTCTACTACTAATTTCGGAATTTCATCCATAGTCATCCGATACTTGTTTGTCATCATCAGCTATGGAACTAAATTTTAATCATATAAATATGAAAGTAACAAATCATGACTTCTTTGTATCGCTAAAATTTTTCAAGTTGAATTAATTTCTAAGAATCTTATGAGGATAATGCCTGAATGGTTGGTTTTATTGATTGAATTTATTGATTGAATTTTTTTGAACCATAACTAAAGTATAACGGAAGAATCAATCTATACCGTAAAACTTTCAAATAATATCGATAAACAATTAATGATTGTTTTGGAGATTCCTACAATTACTTATCACATGAATGGATAATTCTTAAAAATATCTCTTGACAGCCAATCAAATTAAGCCGAAAAAAAAAGAGTGAAGCTAAGAGTTTCAAATTTTCACCATAATTTCAAAGTTTATTTATTATAAGAATGAAATCTTTTTTGAATGGTTTATGAAATGATATTTGTGACAGCCTATTAGAATGTTTTCAACTCTTTCGATAACAATAATAATTTTATCTTTAATTTCTTTTTTGATTTCACTATTTTAATAGTCAACTTTGATTAGAGTTATAATTTTCTTAGAATTAACTATAAGATATCAGAAATGTTTAAGAATTAATTTTGATTTGGAAGAAACGAATATACAAACTATAAATTGATAGAAAGTTTACGGTAAAATTTCTTTATTCCATTCGCATTTGATTTTTCTTTAATTTTCCAACAAAAATTTATTTATGTCGGCTGTCAAAGCCTTTGTTAATTATAAAAAGTGTTTGTATCCTTCCTTAAGCCTAATTTTTTCTATTCCTCAAATTTTAATTAATTACTAAGAACTGTAGAAATGGTATAACCATCAATTAATAAATGATTGGAAATTTTTGAAGGAAATAAATCAAAATTAACAATTCAAGCAAAAATGATTAATTGCTAAGAATAAAGGATATGGTAGATTTTACTCTTTAAAATACTTAAGGATATATTTAACTTTAATTATTAAAGAAAATTAAATTAATAATTTTTTCAATTTAATAAATTCTACAACAGAAAATATTGCTACAACTAAGAGATCAAACCATTAATTTTAATATCGCCCAGTTGATGATAGAAGATTTTAATTTGAACTGTTGCATTGATATTTCATAAAGGCGTTTTAAAATTCTTCAATAATTATCAGAAATCAATAATTGCTTGAAATAGCTAATAGTAATTGATATAAGCATATAATCAGCAATGCATTGTAATAGATTGGTTACTTTGAATTAGATGAAATAAAATTGCAACATGCTGTATTTAATCCAGCATAAAATGACATTTTCCTCTATGGGACCTTAAAATAGTCCCTCAACTAAGAAAAATCAAGAAAATGAAATTCATTTCTTTCTTTTATTTCAGCTTAAATAGCACATCAACAGTATCTTCATCACTATCAACAGCAACATCATCATTGTTATCAATTAAACCATCAACATCATCACTGCCATCATCCTTACGATCATCATCAACATCATCATCATCAGCAGCAGCAGTAGCGGCAGCAGCAACAGCAGCAGTAGCAATAGCATCATCAACAACAGCATCATTATCGCTATCATCATCATCATCATCATCATCATCATCATCATCATCATTATCATTATCATCTCTATCATCAATGATATTTGCTGATGATATGGAAGTTATTGCGCAGGATGATTGTCGTTTCAGACCTACACTTGAAAATTATATCACGATTGTTTCATTTTGTATCATTTTTTTCCTCTCTGTTGTCGGCAATGCAATCGTTGTTGCTGTCATTTTACAGGTTTACTTATCTAATTTCAATTTTTCATCTATCATAATCAATGAAATTTTTAAGCCTTAATTGATAAGTGATAATTTTAATATCATTAAATTGGCCATATGCATTTGCTGCATTTGCTATAGCTACTGAATTAACTATTTAACTCATTTAATCTCATTAAACTCATTTAACCCAATTAATTCTCCTTTTTCTTTTTAAATGAAAGTATAATTTTAGCAACATTCAGTGCGATCGGTGACAAATATTTATTTGTTAAATTTGGCAATATCCGATTTGATGTTATCAGTGATTTGTATGCCACCAACTCTTGTTAGCTCCGTTATTTATTGTTGGATGTTCGGCGATCTCCTCTGCAAGTTATTTGCATACTTGCAACGTATGTTTCGCTTTTTTGCATGTTTTCTATAAAGTTCTTTGTTACTTTTTTAATTTTACAACGGAAAAAGTTTTTCACAATTTATCTCATAAAATTTCATAGCTTTATTAGTTTTTTTTCTTAAGATTTAAATTCCATAAATTTCTGCGATATTATTATTATTAAGATTTGCGATATTATTAAGAAAATTATAACTCTAATCAAAGCTGAAAATATTATGGCATAAATATAACTACTAAAATAATGTAAAATCAAAAAAGAAATTAAAATTAAAAACATTATTGATATCTATATCAGAGTTAGAAAAGAAATTTTAACAATCGAGAAGAACAAAGAGAATCTGTCATTTAAAATATTTTATCATTTGCCTTATTACTTCCTATCATAATCTCTAATAATCCTCAATATCTGTATCATTGTAGCTTCAGATTACATGGTTAAAAAGATAATTTTATGTAATTAGTCTATCAGAACGGATAAGATGATTTAGCTGAAGATTTTTGTACCTCCAATAAATTACAAAATGTTGTTAAATTTATTTCATTCTTCGTTTCCATGGCACATCATGGGAGAAAGCAGAAGTAAATACCATCATATCTTCATGATAAGTTCTTATCAAATCTGACATGCCTCATATTTTTTAAATATTACTTCTTTGTTGAAATCAGATCTGAATATCATTGATGAATTTATCTAAGATTGTTTAATCCTTAACAAGACTGAACAAACATGATGAACATACTGCGCACAATAACAATAACAATACTCTGGACAATAATAATATCTGAACAATAGCAATAGCAATACCCTGGGCAATAGCAACAATACTCTAACGATAACAATACTCTGGACAATAACAATACCAGAACAATAGCAATAACAATACCTTAGACAATAACGATGACAATGCTTTGGGCAATAACAACAACAATACTGTAGACAATAACAATACCAGGACAATAGCAATAACGATAATAATACTCTAGACAATAACAATAACAATATTCTGGACAATAAAATAACGAGATGATGAAGAATGATGCTATGCAACAAAAACATAATATACCGTAGAATTTCTATATTCAATAAATTGTTGATAAATTACTTCTTCTGTTGTTGCCCATCAATTCTGAAAATTGAATTTCATTTTCTTTTTTTTTTATTCCATTTTCATCATTGAAGTATTATCGTAAAAAAGTTTCTTCTCTTACTTATAGCTTAGAAAATAAATTAGTTTGAAAAAGTTTAGTAATTTATTCATACTTTTATCTCAACAAAATCTTTTCATTGTTTACAAATAATTAATATGCTCAATTTCTTTTTCCCTTCCCTTCTCTTTTATATTATATAATTTTTGTTAACAATTTGCAACCATTTATTTAAATAGAATTTCAAATTAATTATGATAAAGGAGGAATATTGAAATTTTGCAAATTAATGAAAAGGAATTTCAATTAGCACAAAAAAAACAACAACCAAATAAATAAAACAAAGAAATCTTTTATTTAAATTTAATAAAATGATTTTCAGCAGTTGTAGTGACAGCATCAGCATATACATTAGCTGTGATTGCATTTGAACGATATTATGCCATTTGTAAGCCATTACATTCAAGAATTTGGCATACCCGATCACATGCCTATACAATGATCAGTTTGGTTTGGGTTATTTCCATTCTTGCAAATTTATTTATGCTTTTTATGTTCGAACTACAAACCTATAATGTTAATGGTCTAACATGTGCACCAAAATATCGACCAGTTCTTCATTTCGGTTATCAGGTAATTAATTCCCTCTGCGAATTGTCACTCTTTTAACATTATCGCATTCCTCATTAGTTTATTCCATTTTCTTTAAAATAAATTTCTATTTCTTTTTGCCGTTAGAATTATATAATATTAACTAATTAAGCATTAATTCATTCCTTGAAATTTTTATAAAACAAAAAGAAAGCACTACTATAATTAAAAGGAAAGAAAATTCTTCAAAATAATTTATTTTCAATAATCATTTAATATTTTATTATTTTTAGATATATATGACCTCAGTGTTACTGCTTATTCCATTATGCATAATGATTGTTTTATATGGATCGGTGATACATGCTTTAAGGGTTGATATGAAGATGGATCATACCTCCGCTTCAACAACCTGTACAGTTTGCAGATTTATGATTTCTTAGTTATAGCATATTTAGTAAAATTATATTATTATAACTTCACTTCACATTTGATTAATTTCTTGAGTTAAATTAACTGAAGTAAAACTTCAAAAATTTAGAAAACAAAATCAGAAGAATGAATAAATGGAAAAATCAAATATTTAGAATATTGAAATTGATTACCGGAAAAAGTTTCCGGTTGTAACATTCATATTATATCATAATCATCTAGTTTGAATGTATTTTGAATTAGCTAAAAATATTAAGCATAAATGAAATGTTTCCCGTAATTACTTCCAAATTTTTGCTTTCAATGGATAAGAAAAAAAGAAATAGGACAGGGAAATTCTAAAGTTAAAAAATGGTAGGGGCCACATTTACTTAATTTTGTTGCCTAAGCCTAAATGAGAGAGTTAATTTTTTTAGATAATATGAGTGGAAGGAACGATGATGAGGGACCATGTAATGATGCAATACAGGGTACCATGAAAATGTTGAAAAACAAGAATAGAAAAAATATAAGGTTTGTGTTTTCAAAAGATTGTCAACTTAAAATGCAAAACAAAAAATTAAACAATTTTGATAATAAATTTCAGGCGAATTTACTGAAATTTTGTTTTTGCAAATTTAAATTTCAATTATTTAAATGAAAAATTTCAACATATAATATTAAATTAATGAAGAAATTTTCTTAAATTTATCAAATTTTTGTCGATATTTTAACAACAACAACAAAAAATCATACTATAATTAATAAAAATTCAGCTCAATTTCATCAAAGAAGTTCCGTTGTTCCTGTTGCTTTTATAATTCAGTAAAACAAATACAAACCAATTCTGATGCAACATCATTAACCACCACCACTGATACGTGGAAAAATAAATCGATCGATTTTAATGGTAAAAATAGCCTACGATCTACTCATAGGTAAATTATCTTTTCATATCATTCTACCTCACTCTCAAACATTATCAATATACAAATCAATGAAATGATAAGAATATGAGCAATGTGATACGAGTATTAACGTGATATAATAAATTGATTGTTATCAAATTAATATTTGATACTTTTTGCAAAATAGTTAATAACAAAACAAAAAACGACCAAACTTTAAAAGTGGAATAGTTTTTTTTTTCTTATCTGACAACCTAAATATTCTTACCTTCTTCACAAACTAATTAATGAATGATAACAAATTAAAAAACAACTTAAAAAATAAACTTAATAAAAATAAAATGAAAAGAAAAATTGGTTCCAAAGAAACAATTAACAATTTAATTAATAATTTTTTATTACTATTATTATTATTTCATTCGAATGTTATTCAGTGAACGATCAGTTCTGGCCAAACAACGCGTTATCAAAATGCTTATCGTCATTGTTATCATATTTTTTTGCTGTTGGACACCAAATTATATGTGGTGGCTATTGCTAACAGCCCAGGATTCATTCAAGGTTTCACTTTTCCTTTTTCAAATAATTTATTAATTAATAGCTTAATTAATTATTTCCATCTACTTATCTTATACCTCATTAAAAATTGAATAATCTAATTTTCATTTTAATCATTCTTCTATCTTAATTATTATTCTATTTACTAAATCCATCATTTTCTTCTTTAATTTTTCATTCCATTTTTGTTTTTAAAATTTTTTAATCTTTGCGCACAATAAGTCTTAATGGTTGAATAATACCCTTTCATGAATTTGTGAAACTGTGAATCCACTATTCCCTTACCTTCCGAATTATCTTCACTTCTTCATATTTGAATGTCTCATTTGGTTCAAGTCCGGACTTCCTAAATGAATAATTTATAGACTTTCGATATTTGGAACTCAGCAGTGAATACGGCAATAACAGTGCTTTGCTACATATCTTCATGCGCTAATCCGATCACCTATTGTTTCCTGAATAAGAAATTTCGTACTGCACTACTAATTACGTTTGGTTGTTTGCGGAAAACTCCAGACCACTTCTCGACTATTTATTTACCCGAAACACAGATGGATACATCAACACGAAAGAAATCAAACAAAGAAATGACCACCACTCTCCAAACAGAAAGGTTACTTATCTTCTACATTTTTGATGTTGTAAACAAATTTTCAAACATTCGATATGATAATGTTGTGTATCATACCAGCTTAGGTAAAAAGAAGTTTAAGTGAATATAAAATCTCATCTTTCAGATCTGGTGAGAATAATGAATCGTCTATAAACTCTAAAACGGTACTTTATCCCACGGGTTCGACTACTACAACTGATAGGAATGACCACAGGGCGCCAGCAAAGAAAGAAGGCAGTATCCAAGTAGCTATCGATGGGACAGAAAAAAGAAATTTGTTGAAAGTGATTGTAATTAAACCTAACATTTCTTCTTCGTGAATATAAAAATCCAACGCATAAAAACAATCCCAACAGTGTCAAACAATGTATCATAACGAAAAATTTATAGAATGCATCCAGAAATTACTTGAGCTATCAAATATTCAATGATCGAATCTCGTAGTAGTAGCACATAACAGCTCGAGCATAACATTAAATAATTACTTTCTTACTTAAATCAACCGGTTTTAAATCATTTATGCTGAAAAAAAGGTAGTAACTGGGCGAAACAATACATTATTTCAATTCCAAGGAAAGATACAAGACAATTAAGAAATTCCCGGAAATTTTTATTCATGATCCATCTGTTTGACAATTTAGAATATTCAAATCTAGATTATTCCCTCATAATTTTAACTCGCAGACAGATAGAATAAAATAATCAAATATCCATTATTAAATACTACATACAGGTACACCGAGAACTATTTAAACCTAATATTTTGATATAAACTTAGCATTATAAAAACAAATCTTCTATCACTTTATTGTCACCCTATAACGTTACTGTATTCACTTTATGCTCCCATTTTATGTAAAGTGTTAGAACTAGCTCGATTTAATCTCAAATACTCGCGGAGGGGAAAAGTTACATGAGGTAGGGAATAATCTAACCCTGCACCTGAATATTTCACCGGTAAACTGTTATTTATTAACACGTACAACAAAAATTGCATGTTCTCAAGTTTTTGATGCAACGACTCTGATATGATTCCTTTTGGCACGACGTTCTCGGTATGTTTCGTGATTATTAGTCCACGGTCCAAGACTCTCATTCGCATAATAATCCATCGGATATGAGTCGGTTCGAAATGAAACATATTGTAGCACAGCCACCAACTCATAAGGGGTGAGAAGTGGTTTCTTGAAACTTGCACCCCAATCGATCGACAAGCGAGGACAAGCTACTTGGACCCAGCTAAAATAGAAATTCATGTAGTTGAAATATAAGAACAAAAAAAATGCAGGATTATATCGGAAGAAATGAATCACATTTCATGCATTTTCTGACTATAATAAAAATATATACTATACTTCTATTTCTTCTATACTTCTATAAAAATACTTCTATTTCAGACAAACCATGCATATCGTCCGGATTCCAATAAATTCCTGTATCTTGTCATAACAAGGTTATGAGATTGGATTAGCATTATGAGAGCTTTTCTTATTTTCTTGATAGTCTTCATCAAAAGATCAGTTGTTAAATACAAATACATCTTGCAAGAAGTGGAAAGATCCTCTATGGTAGAATCTTTTGGTTTCCTCTTGAACAACTAGTTAAGTACCAACAACAACATTGCGGAATAACAGAAAATGTTTTGAAGGTCTTCATTGACTTATAAACCGTCATCTGATTCGCGGACAAAATAAGAAGAAATCTCTATTTGAAATAGCTTTGATTGAAAAAACAACACAACTATTACTTACCAATCAATATCAGTGAAAGAGGATAACTTCTCGGGCGTTATTTCCGAAAGAAGAACACGTACAAACTTTTTTCCGGCTACTTGCAATTTCTTCTCCAAATCCTAAAACAAAATAAATAAATCCTCTCAATTTCCATCCCAACTCCTTCACACATGTATATTAAAAAAAAATTAACCTCCACAATTTTAGGGTTTCCCTGTCTACCCAATGAACCTTGTATAAGACCAAACATGTGACATTTTCGAGCTATTTCTACAGCTTCTTTCCGTTTTCTGGTCATCAAATTGAAATCGTATTCCTCGTGCGTGAACTTCCTGTAATCTTTTTTAATAGTAGAATTTGCAAATAAAAAACACGATACATTTCAAACTTAAGTCAAATAAAGCAAAGAAAAGCAAAGGAATTTTTACACTGAATTCAAGCTGAGGACGAAGAATTAAAACTACATTCAATTTTGGTCCAAACAGAAAGACCAGTTGAAAACATGTTATAACAAGCCCCAGACAGTAAATAATTGTAGTAATGCATAATTAAGAATTTATGACTTGCTTCGAATATGGATCATATTGATAAGCAATAACAGATGGATTTTGAATCATCACTGATTCCAAATGGAATCTTCCATCACCTAAGTATCTGAAAAACAGCGTATTAAAATTGGAATAATGCATACTGCCCAAATATGAGATTTTTTTGGTCTTCTATATACTTATTATTTTTTGATATCGTGTATGCAGAAAGTAAAATATTTAAAATTCACTTATAATTAAATCATGCTTAACAGACTACTGTAACATTTTTATGAAGCAATCAATAACTAACATGACTGCGTGGACATCCTCTTCTAATTTAGGAGAAGTGCAGCCGAGGATTTCACCAGGACTGAGAGGTTTCACTTGTGGTATCAAAATATTATAACCCTCGTCAATCAACTCTTTTTTAACACTCTGAAACAATTAATCAGTCGAACTGTTTCAAATTTCACTGGAATTTTTAATTTTTTTTACTCAAATTTTTAACTTCACTTCAGCGATTTGTGTTGCAAATTTACGAAATCATTACTGCTACATTCGGTATAATGGAATTTCAAAAAGATCCGATAAAAAGATTCAACAGATAACATTGTAAAGCAGTTTTGAAAAACTAATGCATAGCTGCATTTCATGTATAGTTACTGAATAAGTGATCATGCTGATTTGCCAGTGATTCGTAAGATATTAATTCAATCACTCTATAATAAAAAAAATAATAAATAATATTACACTAACCTGCAGGCAAGAAATGAACTGAACAGTGCTGACTAATGCAAGTTTTTCATGCCTTTCGAAATTAGTTTTCAATACATCAACAAAATGGCTAAGATTCATTTCGATGTTCACAAAAACATAAAGCATTTCAATTCCTTTCGTTTCTTGAATTGGTATTAGACAACTGTGTCCATAATGCACCATAAGATTACATCCTGCAAAACTCGATACTTCAGCTTTAAAATATTATGTTTCTGCAAGAAGAAAAATATAGAAGTACCCTCACTATCGCTAATTTCAATAAATGATTGAATGAAGCAGTTGGATTGAATAGATTGAATAGTTGGAATCAATAACTAGCATCTTATATGTTAAGCATTCGCATAAAGCTATTCTGCACTGAATAACTAGCCTGTTCTGGTATTTCAGCTTGATAAAATTCTTGATAAAAATTAAAAACGAGTACATATATTTACCGAATGCACGTGCTGTTTGGTCACCAACACAGCACGCTCCATATGTGACGTCTCCCATAATTACAATTTCACATTCTGTATATTTCCGTAAAATGTCCGCAATGACACATGAATACAACAGCAATCCTTCAGGAAACTGTAGACAAACTGCAAATCAAATTTCCAGAGTTACTTGAAATTAGTCCAACTTTGAATTATTGTCAGGAATGTTCAGTAATGTTCAAAATGCAAGAAAGTTCGTTATCTTTTGAACACAATTTTTTTATGCTCAGAAGGTAATGAACCCTACTTACATGAACCAGTGCTCGAGAAATTGACAGTTTCACAGTCTATATCACTAATAAAGTAAACTGTCTCAGCAAGAACAAAGCCAAGTTGCTTCACATATGTAAATTCCTCATTTTTCATCTATCAAAGAAACTTTAAAAATATGTAGAGAAAAGTACCATTTTTGCTCTTCGTAACTCGGATTTTCCAAATCGTTTTGGGAATCTCGAAATTATAATTCGACGGTAGCTTAAGAAGATGGTTAGACACAAGAAAAAATAAAAAGTGCTTCGCAGCATAAATTCCCTAGAACACCAGATGATAAAGAATGGTTTTCGAGAAAGAAAATTTCAATCAACTTACAATCTTCAAATCATTTTGCAACGCTTCGTCATTACTTATTTCTGCTATTTGTTTTTGAATTGTTGCACGAGTCATGTGTTATCCAGTTGGAAAGCTACGACGAACATCAATTCTTCCACCTGAAATCTTAAAAAGATGTACCGATTTTCCAAAGATATTCTGGAAATATAATACTAATAAATGAGAGTTGTAGGAATTCTACAACGATCGAAGTCACTTCTTTTCCAAGCCAGTTCACTCTCCACATCGTCCATATTCCAATATGAAAATAAACTACTTGAGTATTGCTATTCTGAAATAACTGATAAAGTCTAAGAATGGGAAAGATAGCAAAGATAGCAGTATCTTGGGTTTTGATACCTGCAAAAAAACAACAGATATTCAAAATTTTATTACAAGAACAAATATATTCAAAAACTTTTTATTTTATTAGAAGAACCACTGATTAATGTACAGATACGCTGAACAGACATGAAATTTCATAAATATTAATTGAAGAGGAATAATCGATAAATATTAGGAGTTACTAACGTGGTAATTTGAGTAAAAAAAATCGCACAGGAAACTCAAGATTTCTTAATAAAATACTGTAAGAAAAAAAATCAATAAATTCATAATTTTCTCACGGGGCTCATACTTCTACTCTTTATCACCTGCAATCTTCTTCGGCAACAGAACAGCGTGAATATTCGGCAGCACACCACCTGAAGTTATATAAAAATGACGAAATTTATATGCTATTTGATAACTCTAAGCTTCTGAAAAAAAGTCTTAAAAGAAGTGTTCGTCTTACATGCATACTACTACAAGCTTGAATGTACAGAACAGTGCACTATTTTGTCCATTCAAATAAACATTTGAGAACCTTGAGCGATAGTGACACCGGAAAGAAGTTTGTTCAGTTCTTCGTCATTACGTACAGCTAATTGTAGATGACGTGGATTAATGCGGCTCTTTTTATTATCGCGTGCAGCATTACCCGCTAATTCAAGCACTTCTGCAGCTAAGTATTCCAGTACAGCAGCTAGATACACTGGCGCACCTGCACCAACGCGCTCAGCATAATTCCCCTGAATAAATCTCTAATTATGAAAAATCGAAATATGTGGAGAAAGTTATAATCTCAAGATGTTTCTTCTTGAACTTTTTTCTCAAGATATTTTTCTTCAAATCTATCTAGAGTCGATAAAGTAATTAAAGATATGCTCCAAATATTTATAGATAAATAGAGAGAGGGAAGAAAAAGGGAAAGAGTCAGGAGAGCATACAATCACAGCTGATTTTAATGTTAAAATAATTACTTAATCCACTGCCATTTCGTGAACAATTCAATTGGAGCTAAAAGAAATTGATGAACCTTGCGGAGAAGCCGATGTATTCGACCAACGGGAAATTGTAGGCCAGCCCTGCTGGATCGTGTCTTGGCTTTAGCTGATGATTTGGCTTTACCTCCTTTCCCTCGACCCGACATTTGAACTACTTCAAATTGCACTTAAAATTTGCTCCTGAAATCAATCTGGATTATTTCCTAAAAAGCCAAGCGTAACTTAGAACTACAATTGGTTCTAGTCAGCTTCATGACGCACTCCTACCTTTACAGAGCACTGGAAGAGAACTACAATTAGAAGCAGACGAGCGGATATGCTGCAGAACATTTATATACTTGGGGTTCGAATGAGAAGACTAAAAGTGAAAAAAACGATGAGATATTGTGTGAAATAATTACAACAGAGAAATAGAGAAAAACTATACACTGTAGGTAGTGCAAGATAATGTAGTCAATATAAGAACTTGTCTCAATGTCTTTGTTTAGTTAGGTAAGATTTTCCGGGGTATAAAATCCTCGAGACTCTTGCGTTGTTTCCCGGTATTCGCTGAAGTCGATTGTTGAGCTCTATTTTTTTAAACATTTGTTTAAGGTATATGAATTACATTAAAAAGATAAAATTTGTAGTTCTCTTCAAGGCTTTTGAAATTATATCAAATAAGGATCAAGTTAAAGTCTAAACTCTAGTCTGCTATTTGCTAGTATCAAGTGTCATAAGGTATCAAAACGTAAAACAAACGGTCTAAAAAGAATCGTTAATGCTATGTCATTTTAATTGAATGACTTACCTGTTTGTAAGGCAGTTTGTGATGTGCAATTTATGAAAGATGACGCTGTGTTGACTAAAATTAAATTTATCATTCATTCTAGCTGATACTGAAATGCAAATTTCTTGCACATTGTTACACATATACACACATATGTTGTTTTTCAATAATTAATGCTCAGATGGATAATCTTTTATCTGACAAATAGGTCTATTTTCCTTTATTGGACAATATATCGATGATCTGATCATTTTTCTGGTAGTTACGGTTTGATTTTTGTTTTCGATCAAATGAGTAAAGAAAATTTTAATTAAATTATATTTAAATATTTAAGGAAAGTTAGACTATCAGAAATATATAGAAATAATTATCATAAGAATTCAATTGGTTATTGCTATGTGATATCTAAGTGTAGCACGATTAGGCTAGCTAAGAGGCAACACAGAAGGAAGATATTCTTGGAAGTACAAGCTGGTAATCTGGAAGGAAAAACTGCTGCAATTGTTCAAAACAAAGGAAATAATTTAAATTATTTTGTCTCTTATGTTCGAAACAAAGTGCGCCCTCTATTTCAGTTGTTTTCATGGTACAATTTAGTGAGAGAAATGATAAATGAATATAATGGAATAACATATTACAACTGTTGAGTTTAAATATATATACTCAAAAATAAATTAGTACAATCTTATTGCTTAATTATTTAATATTTACTATTCTTTTCCCATTTTTATAAGTATCAGTATTAGTCATAAATTCAACTTAATCATTAATTATGCTACAATTTAATCAATAATTACTTAATTCTTTATTTTTTTTTTACATAGCCAAATATTTATTATTCATTATCTTACCAAATAATGAATAGAATTAGTCAACAAAAAGTTTCTACGATAAAAATAAAAGTATAGTTTGATGAAAATTTCTGTAAGTTTGAATATTTCCATCACAACTAGTTTTATCCTCTTCTGCCCGTTAGGCTTGATGTCATCAAGTTTACAATTCAAGTTGCATCTTGTAATCCAGATACTATCTTACTACAACTGTCAATTAGATATTTATCATAACCGTTGAAATAATATATAGCAGTGATGAGAAGCACAATAGTTACAGCCTGAAATAACAAATTCATGTTATTTGGTAAATATTTTACTGGATATGCTGAAAGTGAAAAACAGTATCCTTCCTTGTATCATGCAAAATTTCTGTTTTTTACTTAAATAGAAAAAGTTGAAAAATTCAATCCAAACCTTCTCGATAAATCTCCTATCAATGATTGTAATTTCGAAGAATGATACACCTACACGATTTCGATACAAATGATTAATATATGCTATTGCAACAGAATATGTCTGAAAGTTGAATAAATTCTTTGTTATCCATTCTGATAGATACTGCTTTTAAAATATTGTTTAATTGCAGAAGTGCAAACTTCACTAACAAACTATATATGGCAATTATTTAAATTAGTTGGTGAAATATATTTCGGTGGTTCAAAATTGCAAATAAACGGAGAGGTCAATTTTGAGGGGAGAATATAAAATTTAAAAGCATGTTTTTTTTATAAATTTTAATTACCTGCTCTTGAAGAGCGGTAGTACCAGCAATAAGAACGATAAGCAGATAGCGAAAATGTGTGATATCATGACAAAGTAATAAGCATATCACTAATGAAGAGATAATCTGTGATATAACAATTAAAATAAGCAATAGAGTACAAATTAGTACTGCAACAGTAATCGGTTCCAATGCTAACAATTGATCGATAAGATTTGGTACTGATCGTAGAAGATATATGCAAGATAGCGCTGAAGTTGACAAATGAAAGCTCATCCATAAACTGCAAAATAACACTTAAAATGTTTGTCTTGTGATAAAATTATCATAAGTAATCTTTTAAATGATATAAAGCATTTTCAAAAATTTATTTATAACTTATCCATAGATAATCTTAAATTTTTTTACGACAATTTCTAAATGATATGACAATTCCTTATCAACGAAATTACCAAACATTTCATATATATTTATTCATTGCTGATAAATAAAAGAAAATAATTAAATGAATTCGTTGATAATTTCTTAATTTCACTGCCTCATAAATTTTCACATATTTACATATATTATCAATGATATATCTGATACCTAAGTGATCGACCAAATAGCGCATGTGATCGTGAAATTGTCCAATGAGCGGTAACGTAATGCTTAATTACAGGTAATTGATAAGTGTTGTAATCATTTGCAAAATCATCATTTAGTGCTCGATATTCCGCACAAATAATGCTAATTAAACTGTACACTTCAGCATAAATAGCCGAATAGGAAAATGCAACATAAACAAAAATACCAACAAAAAGCCAATGAAAATAATGCGGTAAATTGAAATTTAATGGAACTTTCACAATAGGTGAATAATTATTAGCAATTATTCGTATAATTTTATAAGCTATCATAAATATGCTAATAATTGTTCCAAATATGATTGCACCAAACTGAAAGTAAAAAATTATTATACTTTTATATTATTGCAATATAGATATTATGAATTATTTGTATTTTATTTATTTTATCTTAATTTAACTTTCACATTTTTTTTATTTCCTGTTTGTTTACGTTTTTTATTTGTTTACTTCATTTTTTTGTTTACATGTTTATTTACTCATTTGTTTATTCCATTGTATCATTCATAAGAAAATCTGTAAAGATCAAATTTAAAAACAGTTTTCGAATGGAAATCTCATCGATTCGGTTTTTACTGAATTCTCCGATCAGGCATTATATGTTACTGAACTGAAGCAAATGATTGCTTTTTCTTTAATGAATCTAATAATTATCGAATTTCTGAACACAATCTCATATAGTTAATATATGGCTTTGCTTATAAACAATTCTGCTATATATCAGTTCAATAAATAAATTATTTTTATAAAGTGAAAATTAGTAAAAGGTAAAATCAACATGAATATTATCGAGCAATGTTTTCCGTCTTAGAACGCCAACGCCAGTTGATGTAGCTTGAAGACGCTGGCGCAATTTGTCACCAACTGAATTTCGATCCCAATAAATCAAAAAGCATAAATTCAAAACTCCTTGCAATTGAAAAATTGATAGAGCAATTTCAAGTGGATTTCTGAAATTTTCTCACACATATTTCCAGCATTATTCTTCACAAAGTGAAAATTGAAAATAGTTTTAATATCAACAATGTCAACAAAAGATAAGGAGAAGTGATAATAATTACAACAAACAATGATAGCAAAATTCAGATATAACAATAGCAATAAAATGATAAGTTATCATCATATCAATACATAGAAAAGAAAACTTACGCATATGTTGTACGTATCCCATACCAGAATTGTATGATTGTAATCAGTAATATTGTGATTAAGAATAAAATGATAAAAATTGTATGACAATCGATTATCCAACGATAACGTCTACTTCTTTGTTTGAAGCAAGTAATTCGGCAACAAAGTAAAACAAGAACTAATTGTACTGGCCAGAAATAACGTACGAACTTAAAATTTGAAATATAATTTAATTCAGATTTATAATTTACATATTATGAAGAACAGTTTATTCTTTTATTATTATTTTTTGATTAAAATAATATTTTTCATTAATTTAATTAATTAATTAATTAAAATGCCTTTCCTAATATAAGATTCATTTGTTTGTAATTGAAAATTTTATCAAAATAATACTATCAAATAATTAAATATTATAAAGGGGGAAAAAAAAATTAAATTGAAAGGTATGCTTGCATACCTGTGCATGTAAATGTTTTTGAATATGATTAGTGGAATCGTGGGTCGAGAAATCAATCTTCAAAAATGGCATTTTATTTGCTGAAAAATGTTGTATATCCCAAACATTTACCAATTCAACCTTTTGTTTTCGTCTAAATTTTAACATTCATTTAAAGAATATTTTAATGAAAAGATTTAAATAATATTTTTTAGATATTAAAACAATTAATCAATTTATTATACATTTAAATTTAAAGAGTATTTTTTTCTTAAAAAATTTCTTACAAAAACTATCAATGATATGATTTTGAAAAATAAGTAAGATCAGTAATTAAATAATTAGATAATTTTTATTGTTTGCGAAAAACAAACATTTCAGAGTTATTTAGAAGGAATTATTATGCATAAATAATAATTAGAATAATTCAAGAAATAACCAAAAAGATTTTTCAAAGATATTTTCTTTATCTGAATGAATAGTTCTTCCGGATAAAAAAAAATAATTATACCATAATCAAATAGTTATTCCATAAAAGATTATTCTGATCAAATAACTGTACCGTAATCAAATAACAGATATTTGAAACTGAAATGGTAACGCATTGAAATAAATGATTGAATGTTTAGAATAGCTTTAGATAATATAAATTTGTATTAAAAAATGAAAAGAAGAAAGTAAGAAAGGGAAAAAGTAATATTTGTAAAAGAGGATCTAAAATGAGGAAATTACTAAGCAGACATTATCAATCCAGTCAGTTGTCGTCAATCTTTCTGATCATCATTACGTCATTGCGTCCACTAATCTCCTAGCCTATCTACCATAAAATAACATTTCGTTAGTTGTCCTATACTATCACTGAGATTGCTCGATGATACGCATGGATGAATTTCTCAAAATAATAATTCATTTCAGTTAGCTCATTTATACCATGCTAAATATACCATGTAACAATAGTGAGATAAAAACAAAGTAAAAACAAAAGAGCTGATCTCATAAGGGTTGTTGAAATTTTAATTTAATAAAGTAAGGGATGAAAAGCACAAAATGCTCTCTGACCTACGTATAAACTTTCTGCTAATATAGACTTAGCTAACATTTCTATCAACAAAAATAGAATTATTGCAATGGTTCTCACTTGTTGCATTTCTCTTTTCAACTTTCAAACTTAAATTTTAATTTAAAACTCGTTCTTTCCACCCTTTTTCTTGTAAGTATTACTATATTTTCTTCAGTACAAAATTTCTTTGAGCACCGTAAAAATTTATTAGATAAACAAATTCTTTCGAAAATAACAAAATATTAGATAAATTATAAAGCAAATTTTTTCAGCACAGAAATTTGCATAATTAAAAGTAAGCGTAGCGTACAGTTAAGGGAAGAGAAAAAAAGGAATGGAGAAATAACTTAGGAAGATCCAAAATCAATTTTTAGTCAGAAATTCAATCACAGCTTTTCAAAATTAGTCTCGTTTCCCTGCTTTTCTCACTACTTCCTTTCTTTCATCCTTGCATCTGTTGAAGAAATGCTGAAATCAACTCTGACTAGTTGTGATCCGACAAAAAATCTTCATAAAATTAACAAATTTTAGAAACGAAAAAAAATCGAACACCATATAATTTACAATAAACATAAAATATATCATATAAACACACCAATCACTAAAATCAGATAAGAAAAAAAAATGCGAATATTTAGCAGTATCACCAAATTCTAGAAATTCCTCCAGCCTTCAGTTTTTCTGGTTCTACACCTTACACCTTTTGCAGAACACAGATCCCACACCGTCTCTAAGAACATCAACCGGAAATTTTTTCATTTTCCTTGTCATTATACAAAAATAAGAATTGGAAAAAACAAAGAAGCAGTAGCGATAACAGTTAAGAGATAGAAATAATATTGAAAAACTGCGAGTACATACTATGCAAAGTATGCTTAGAAATTATGGAAGAAAACGGATAAATGATATGAATAAGTAAAATATGCAGATTTTCAAAACGAAATTAAAGAAAAAACTTCATTTTTGGGACGGATATAGAGAAGAAACAGATTCATTATTAATAATAAACGATACCTCCCAGAGGAAAGTTAAGAGTATAAAAAAACAACAGCTTAACGCTACTGACCACATCGCATTCTGAAAGCCTTATGCAAAAGTTTTTAATCATAAAGCAAACGAATCACATTGTATACTAACAGGAAAATAAATTCTTTCCAAGACCAATTCTGACTAGAATTATATAGCAATCTAAATTATAACTGAGCCATTTTTTCTAATATTGGTATTATTTGATCGAAATTCGGTCGCCGACCAGGATCTTCATTTAAACAAATGTTCATCAAACGTCCCATATTTCGTGATATTCCGGGTGGAAATGGGACGCGTAGTCCTTCTAGAGCAACCTGGAAAGAAATTTTCAATTCAAAAGACTTAAAATTTAAGCAGTTCAACCCTCCTCTAAACTTAGCTTTCCTTAAAAAAAGTAAAGAAAAAAATTAGAAAAGAAACTCTATAACAAAGGTCCATCATTTGTCAGCGGTAAACAAATAGCAAAGAAGGAACAATATTAAAGTGGTTAGAAAGATAATAAATCCTTCTACTAAGCTATCGTTTATTCTGGAGATTATTTTTTCCTAGTGAATGGCTTGACTAAAATGCACTTTCCAGGAAATAAATGCGTCATCAAACCAATTTAAAAAATTTTTTACCTCAACCGCAATCGAAAATCAATGAATGAATTATGAATTTACTTAATTCATCACAATTCTATTTCAAGCTCTTAAACTTAAATCTGAATTCCAAATTTGATTCTGTCCTTAGAAATCACAATTATCAAACAGCAAAGAACTAAGCCAAAGACCTCTTCCTCTCTTTCCCTCTTCTGGATTCTCTTCTTTACAGCATTATTATTCACGATTGCCTTTATCCAACACCCACTTATTACAATATCATATCAATAACCAACCTTTATTCCAATTTCCATTGGAGAAAGATCTGAGAATGGTACTTCTCGGGTATTCAATTCCCATAATAAAACACCAAAACTCCACATATCAGCTGCTCTAATATTTAAATTTGATGGTGAATACTTCAGTGCTGCAAAAAAAACACATAATCGACCAACTCTAACATTTGGAAAAATTCCGAATCAAAGTTCACATTTAACTTTCAAAACTCATTGGCATGAACTAGACTTTTTTAATGCATATCCGTTACACTGATTGTAAAAAAAGTCCAGGTTATCACTGTTAATCAAATGCAAATTGACCGAATGTAACGAAAAATGAAAATTTCACCTTCCGGTGACATCCATGCTGGAGAATATAATCTGCCTACTTCCTGAAAGCTGAATTTCGTATCGGCCATTGAAATTTTTGCTGTAAGATCTTCGTCAACCACAACATGTTTCGAACTCAGGTAATATCTCAAAATCAATGGATCCAACGAATGAAGAAATGACATGCCACGTGCTATATCCAAAGCAAACTTTGTTGCTTGCGCTTGGTCGATTACAACTGCTAAACAATGGAAAAAAATGAGAAGTTGAAATTTTCTCATTTTCTCAAAACACGCTTACTTAACAATAAGCATTTCGAACCACGTAAAATGGAAAAAGAGCAGCTCAAAAAAGATGAAATATTTGAACAAAAAGTTATGATGACAATTTCATGAGCTTAGCAAATTGAAATATTTATATAGAAAAATCAGGAATGCCATGAATATTAATAAACTTTTTTTATTCTGAGGCAAAAAAAACTATTATACCCATCTGTTCATGCAACACATTATAAAGTGAACCAAACGGCATCAACTGGCTAATAACAATGAGATTTGGTGGTTGATTGCAGCAGGCCAATACCGGGCATACATTTGAATGGGCAAATATTCTGAAAAAATATCTGGAAATGAATGTGGGCATACCAAGGCAACAAATATAGTTAAAGGAGATTACGACTTGAAGCACTGACTTCATTCAGAACTTAGTAAGCTGTCCTTCGAATTTGTACTCACTGTTAGGTACAGGACCAAAAACAAAAAGGAGATGGAAAATAAGAAATAATGAACTATGAATGGAATGCATACCTTAAAGAAGGGAATTCAGCTTGGAAGTCACGACTTATACGTAGAGTTACTTCAGGTAATGCTAAAATTCGAGCTACGATATCATTTCCTTGCCACTTGCCACGCCATAATTCACCACTGTGAGACTCGGCTATTTTCATCGATAAACTTAAAGATGCCATATCAACACCTGTGTACCTGTAAACTCTCCATTATACATATCAGCAAGATAAACACTATAAACTTCATCAGACATATTAGATTCTGTAATAACAAATATTGGAAATTCCACTCACACTATTGAAAGTAGAAAGCGAAATTTAAGCAAGAGCAACCTTGAAAGTGTGGCATCTCTTGTGCGGGACTTTGTGCCTTTCCAGGTCTGATCCTTGAATGGTATCCTTTCACTGATATTTTGTCCATGCTCTCGGGCAATTTCTGAATATGACAGCTAAATGTCGCAATTAAAATATTTAAGATTTTTAAAAATGGAATTGTTGAAATTTAAAGATATTGCCACGCAAAAAACAAGCAGTGA